ATAATCCGGTCCAGATAACGCCAATTTAATTGATTTAACCAATCTAGGCATTTTTTTTGGTGCTATTAGACTCGGATCGTCGATTTCTATAAAACTATCCGTAAAGCAGTTGGTTTTTGATCTCTAGGGGTAAAAGTAGACGGGTTGATCACCGAATGGATCACCCGCACACTACTGTTTGAGGTATATTTTAGTTTTAAAAGCGTTTCCAATCACTAACTCTCGAATCTTTTCATCATTTCTTTCAGATCATCGAACTCTGCTCGCGTCTCGACGAGAAAGAGCACCGAATTGCCGAGCTGGAGATGAAACTGAAGCTGAAAAATGGGAGATTCCGAGAGGCACCTTGGTGAGGGAAATGGAAAGGAAAAACTTTGTAATTTTGATTTTCTTGTAAACAAACATCTCATTGCCCATTGCTCATTTCTCTCCTTTTTTGACGGGTACTCATTATTGTCATTGTTGTTACCATTATTGTCATTGTTGTTACCATTATTGTTATTGCTTTTTTTACCACCTTTTGCATTTTTTGATTTCCTTTGGCTTTTATTGTCTTGTATCTGATCTATTGTGTATATGTGTATAGGAGGAATTTGGATAGAATAAAGTGCTAATCGCGGATTTGGTTATTATATGTATTTGTCCACAGGCGCAAAATGTACTTTTACGGGTGTGGATATAGAGTGTGTAAAAGTGAAGTGTAAAATGTAGCCAATCTAATCCCAAGCGGGTCTTGCCGACCAGTTTGCACCCGTTTCCAATCTCTCAAACCTGTGCCGCCTCTCCGGGAGTTCCCTCTTGATTCTGAGACGATTTCTTCGACGGATACGCCGGTGCCTCTGCCTCTGCCTCATCCTCTTCCTCTTCCTCTTCCTCTTCCTCTTCCACTTCTACTTCCACGTCCAGATGTTCTTTTGTAATCATGACCCACGCTTTTTCTGTTGGTTTTATAAATGGTTTATAAATAAATTTGGAAATGGTGAATTGACACATTCAGAACAAAGCCATTTTTGTCTTGGCTGCGGTTTCGGACGACAACTATCTATGTTAGCTCTAAACCCAAAAATTCGTAACCGGGGACATTCTGGGATAGAAAATCTGAATCCGTTATTTTTTGAGCAGCTTTAATTTCCATCACAAAACTCTCGAAAACTTTAGTAGGTAAACCGAATTGGAGAAAAAAGTTTGGGTTTCGTCCTAGAGGCCGTGTACCAGAAGCCGCACGGTTGAGTAAACAAGAAAATTCTCACGTTTTCGTTTTCTGGCATACGGCCTTGGATTTGGGGTCGCACTTGGGTGATTAAACCGGATGAAATATTCAAAAATAGAGCAGTTTTCTCTATTACGGATTCGAATTCCTTGATCCCGAAAAACCCCTGGTGCAAATTTTTCAGCCCATCATCCTCAAAAGAAGCACGGTGGGCCACATTGTCGCGGATGTGTTAATGAAGGATGAGATGGCGATGGAAATTGATGATGGCAATATAAAAGGAAATGTAATGAAACGTAACAAATGCGTACAGCTTTTGTTTAAAACAAGATTCATATGCTACAACAACAAGTTTTATACGACGTGCTCCTATCGCTGTTGAGTGACCGTTGTGGTGGGAGTTCGATAAACGCCCTGAATTTACAGTCTTTGCGTTGGGGGTTACGTTTTCTAAAAGGCGGATTATTTGGGAAAACATTAATGTTTTTTGTGCAACATACAATCGCGCGTCTTCTCGTCATCCGGTTCACTTGCCCAACTTTAACGTTTTCGGGAAATTTAGAAGGGGAAGACGAATCTCATCGACCGCCAATCCCCCCTTAGCGATCCCTCGCAGAAAAGTTCTCCTGTGAGTTGAACGAGCCGCTCCTTCTCCCCTTCACTTCATCCACCCCCAAATTGAGACTGGATAGGGGCAAATCTGATTTCATGTATACCGGAAGTCCTTTTTCTTTTTTTCCTTTTTTCCCTCTAGATGAAGAAGCGCAAAGATGTCCAAGAAATACTTCTAGACTAAATTGCAATAGCATCAGGTTCAAAGAGGACAAGAACAAGGGATGAAGCGTTGGATCTTCTAACAAGAACAAGAAATCTTGGAAAATAAGAAAACATGGCTAGATTTTGAAGCTTTACTATATCTGAAACTTTCGTGCCAAGCGACAATAGTTTGTTTTGCTTTAAAGCTGTTCTTGGACTTGTGGTCTACCATACCTAGAATGATGCCGTTGTGCTGTGCCAGTCGGTGCTTCTTTTACTCTTTTTCTTGTACTTTGGCATGAATTCGATTAAAATGAGTAACTCGGAGATATCGGATGCACTGTCATCAAGACCGTTTAGTGGATGGACACCGATCGGTGCTTCGGGACGCGGAAAGATGCCGGCTTCCTGAAATCAATGAGTGAATGAGCATTTTGAGTGGAAAAAGTGAATGAGCAGTATCGATAAGTCGTTACGGTATCGACAAGTCGATTTGACAAGGCGATCAAATAGATCAAAAAGAAGATAGCTTTCAAAAGTTGACACGTTTTAGACTCGAAAATTTTGATACACCAGACGAAAACTCAAGTTTTGATGCGACACTGATAATCGAATCGAAATCAAATATCAAATCAAATTGGAATCGGATCCAGATGGAATTCAAAATCAAATATCGATTCAAAATGTCGAAACAAATGTCAAACAGAATCGAAATCGAATCGAAATCGGATCAAAATCGAATCAATCGATCGAAATCAATCAATTCAAAATCGAAATTCGGTTCCTTATCTCTACAAATTTGGTTCCTTTTCTCTCTGAATTTGGTTCCTTATCTATCTAAAGTTGGAATCGAAATCGGATCTCGATAAGCCCAAAAGCTATAAGCAGCAAAAGCACAAAGAAAGTTAGCAAAATTCGATAATGCTTTTTTTCCTTACCTCCACATGTTTCTGTGCGCTTCATGACAACATCACAAATCACAAAGATCACCAACAAAATGATGGAATTTGCGTGAAAGCCTCATCGGATTTCCATCTCTTTTGGCTGTTACTGCATTTCCTAGCTGAGCCTTTGTTTTCTTGTTGAAAAGAAAACATTTTATAATATATATTATTCAAATTTCTTTGCCGCCAACCTGATACTTTCCAGAGTACTACTGTATTGTTGTATGCTATGCCGTTTTCCATTTTCAAATTCTTAATTCAGATCTATACCCACATTGCAATGGTCCGTCGATCAAGAGATTTAATCCATCCAGACCCAAAAGACCCAAAGATTCAAAACCTCAACATAAAACAAACATCAAACTCAATCTGGAAGGATATTTTGACGAAATCGGCCACCCTAGGATTCTGCGGTATGACAAAATAGTGTTGAAAACCGAAAATCGCATTTCAATTGGGCCAGAGATGACAATTCAGAAAGCGTATTCCATAAACGAATATTCGAATAAGCAGAAAAATGGATTAATGGTACTGTATACTCCCGATGAAATCGGGAGATGTTTTTTTCCTTTTTAAAAGAAAATATTGCATATTTTTGAAATTTCATGTTTTCCGAAACTCGAATTTTGTTGATGCGGGCACTCAAGCTTCTCAATTCCGGAACACATAAAAAGACAATACAGCATACATACCAATGCTCCGTGGGAGACTGTCACTAACATTCCGATTCGATTTGGATCAAATTTGACTTATGCCATGACTGCACATCTGGTCAGGAGACTCATGGCAGCCATGGCATCCAAAATATCTAATCTAATACCGTTCACCTTTAGCATTGAGTATACTCGTAAACTTCTGCCCTCTCTTCCCACTTTGTGCTTCTAGGTCGCAAAACCAGAGAACAAAAATAGAAAACTTCGAATTGCGATTTGATTTTCATTGTTAGGAAAATTTCAACTTCTGCGAATTATCCGACTACCAACAATCACCTCAAGATTCAATTCAACTCTCATGTTTCTATATCATAAGCAAACACCTCATGCCTTTAACTTTATCGTGGCTGTCTGAATAACTTTGATAATCGTGAATTTTCAAAAGTTAAATATCAATGATTTAAAACATTTATGCCCAGTCCATGGGGTTGCAAAACAACAAAAATAAACATCAGCCTTTAAGAGGCTGTTTAACAAAAAAAAAATGGTCGCTCTGTAGTAGTTTGACGAATCAAGACGTGAATGATGGAGCCGCGATCGTGACGGAATCTGAACACACAAGTTATCAAAAGTGTTTAATTGCTTTGTTAACTTCATAAAAGCATTTTTCGTAAATTTAGTTATTAAAATGTAAGCGTCATAGCCGAAAATAAACTACAAGTTAATTTGAATCTAGGATATCATATACTAGGGCTTTTTTTATTATCCCAGAACAAATAATGAAACGTGAAAAACCTTGGCTATATTGGTGCAATGTAATCCTGTTTAAGGCCACCGAAGAAAACGTCTTGCGAAACCGCGCACACATCAACGAAAACATCGACCTCGGCGACGTCCGCAAGCTGGCCAGCAACAGCACCGTTTCTTCCACTACGTAAATCAAACACACGTTGCCCGTTTGAGTTGAAAGGGATCTGAAGCACCACAATCATAAGATATAATTTAAAATATCAGGCCTCACACACGCTATAGAAAAACTATAGTTAGAAACAAACCCTGACCTGTAACATCACATTATGAACGAGAAAACGGAATCTTCCTCCTTGGTTCCGGCCGCGGAAGTCCACAGGGTCTGCTTCGTAGATGCCATTTGGAGGAACATTAGCTCCATTAACCACATATGGAGGAGGATTAACGACAGGAAGATAGGCAAATTGATAGTGTTTCAGGCTCTGCGGATGCTTGATTTCGAAATATCCCGCACCGCCACCGGGAAAGGCGAAATCGAGACGCTGACCCTTCTCTTCGACAAACATCAAGATGGGGCGAGGACGATCAACAGTCATCTAAAGAAGGAAATGAAAAACAAATCAAAAAGAAAGAAGCAGTCAACTAATCATGAAAAGACAACTTTACTAAAATAGATAAAACTGACCTTTCCTCCGTTTGATTTGCAATCGAGGCCATTCGAGTGATCTGACCTGAATAAAAACTCAAATTATTAAATCTTAGGATTATCAATGTAGATGGTAAAGATCAAACTGCTGCGAGATTAGAGACAAAGAAATATTTACGACTAGCACGACATTTAATTGAGGCTGACTTTTTTTCAAATGGTAATCAAGAATCGAAATAACAGTTTTCCATACATGTTGGCCTCATCGATTTCCTCGTCAGTTTCCTCCTCGTGTTCCAAACCACATGACATATATGCCAATAAAGGCCATTGAGGAACCGGCACCTAAAACTGATTTACATGAACTCTCGTAAAGATAAATTTGTACAGCCGAGGCACGATTGAACGATACCAACCCCCTGTCCTGACTAAAGTATGTCTGATCAAAATCTCAACAAAGGGTGTTCGATTCAACAATTAAAACTTCCGGCTTCCAGGGTATCGTTATATCGATCTCGACTGTACTAAAAATCGAAGTCCAACAAATTAGATAACCACAAATTAAGAACTTTGACTCGTAAAAAATCTTCAAGCTGAACCTGTTGATAGCCGGCAACTGTGGTAAGCTTCTCGACAAGTCGACCCAACTTCAGCACATCTTCAAATCCAGCCATTACGTTTACAAGTATTCCATGCGAAACATTTTGATTGCGGCACTGAAAGGTTATAATGAAACTCATTTCACGTGCCTTTATTTAATCTAGATGATACAAAAGATTTGCAGCTTGGCTATAACTCTACTAGTCCTATATTATATTTTAGTATCAAATATGTTATCTAACTCATCTCGCACTTGAATCATGATACAATGAAGTAAAAATGCTTATGATACTAAAGCAGTTGGGGAAAACCATTTTTCTCTCAATAGCGCTTTTTCTCGGGCATTCGACTATGCTCGCAAGAAGATAGTGAGTACTGGTACTAACGTAGTTGATCAGAAGCATCTTTTATTCAATTTTCGGCCTCAGATTGGGATGATTTGATGTGCTAAGTAATATTTGAAACACATCGAAGTGAAACAGATAAAATCTAGCAATTCAATTTTATGCTCTCTTAGAGGTCAAAAGGCATGCAAAATTTGGTAAATTCAAAAACTTCGAAAGTTCATAATTTCGCCGAAAACCAGTGTAAAAAAACTTAATTGTTGCTCAGAACATCATTTCACATCAAGGCAAAATAACATATTCAATTGCTCGCCACCCAACGTGGTCGAATGCCCCAGAAAACCACTTTCAATAAAAAATAGTGTTCCCCCCAAACGCGCTAATCTTATATTATATCCTAGTATCAAATATATTATCTACCTTGTCTAGAACCAGAACAATAAGATGATGAAATAAAAAGACCACCTCAAGCAGCATTTCCGGCAACAAGAGCTTCGTGTTGCTCAACGATTTGATGGAGAACTGCCTCAGTCCGTTGGTCGGGTGACCAAGACGATAAGTCTTGTTTCCGTAGACTACGTCCAAATGGCCAGATTCGACTGTGAAAGAGTGAAAATCCTTCGAGAAACACAGTTGAGGTGTCTTCATTTCGCAACTAAATAATGAAAGTGAGAATTGAAAGCAACGAAAAAACATGGATGAAATCGACAAGGATAAAATGGGAAACCTATCATAATAGTCGTAGAAAACAAGATTCTTAACGGAAGCTCTTTAAACATGTCAAAGATGAAAGGAAGGGAAAATGAAAAAAAAACATCAATCGATAGGATTTTCGTTATAGATAGGGATAAAAAACTAAAAAAGGTTCATTTAAAGGTCAGATAACAAAAGTAAACAAGAGGAACCTAGTAAGATAAAAAATGTGCAAAGGCGCAAAAAAACCAACTTTTGGTCGAAAAATTGAGCAGACCTTATCGAAATGCGCTAAAAGTGTTCGGAAGCCTAAAAGCTATAAGCAGCAAAAGCACCAAGAAAGTTAGAAAAATTCGACACCGTAGATCCTCTTATAGAGCCCCATAGCATAGGAGCGTCGCGTACTTTTGCCAGTGGCTGGCGTAATTTTGCATTTTTCGTTCTTCACTTCAATATTATGTCGTTTCTCTCTGAGAGCTTCAAAATGAGTGGTCCCTACGCGTAGTACGCGACGCTCCTATGCCATAGGGCTCTATTGGAGGATTTACAGTGTCGAACTTTTCTAACTTTCTTGGTGCTTTTGCTGCTTATAGCTTTTAGACTTATCGAGATTCGATTTTGATTCGACATTCAATTTTGCTTTTTGATTCAGCCAATTTTTTAGCTCCACTGGGTTCATGTCGAATCAAAATCGAATCTCGATAAGCCTAAAAGCTATAAGCAGCAAAAGCACCAAGAAAGTTAGAAAAATTCGACACCTTAGATCCTCTTAAAGAGCCCCATAGCATATGAGCGTCGCGTACTTTTGCCAGTGGCTGGCTTAATTTTGCATTTTTCGTTTTGATGACTTCGTTTTCCGTGATCATTTCGTGGTTACTCACTCTCTTTAGATGAATGCAAATCGTCCAATCTTCAAATTCCGTGAGAGAATGGGTGAACGTCTCACTTTTCGTCTCGTCGGAAACTTCTTGGAGATCACCCACTACCAGAACGCTCAAAACCTGCAGATGAGCCGTTCATTCTTATTCGATCTTCAACGCCGAGCTAATCGAGGCTACTTGTTGAACCGAACGAATCAACAAAGCATCCTCGGAATGGTATCCGGCCGGGTGACCTATGTGTTCAAGAATATCTGGTTAATGGTTGGTGGCTTTTTCAAATTGATACTTTTCATACTTTTCTACTACTGATTTTCCTTATCTGTGATGATCGTTAGACTTTCAGGGACCTACCCAACAGCAGGGTGCTCAACCGCTCTTCTCGAATCCTGGTCGTGTCGTCAATCCAGTCATGGTGGCGGTGACGGAAGTTGATCTCTTTGTTGATCTTGGGGACGTTGCTTCAATTGAGGACTTCCAGACGCAACTCAACGGCCAAGGATATAACAAGTCCAATTAAAATCTGGTACGTTTCACTTTTAATTTGGGGATAATTTAAATTAGTAAAGGAAAATCGGTTAAACATGAATTGGTATTAAATTCCTCGTATTTTGATCAAGAAAAGTCTGGACCTTAACTAGGTGTAATTGATTAGTTAAATTTTTTAAAAGTACTTCCGTGGAAAAACCGAATTCCAAATAATAGATCACATCTCGACTAGAGATCTTCAATAATGTATCCTTTAAAAGTAGATTTGGATATTTGAAATTTTGCGTTTTTAGATTGCCTCATCTACCATCGCCACTACATCATCATAACCCATCCATATGATTTTTCTGTCTTTGTTCTTCCAATCCTTTAACGATAATTTGATTCTTCTTGTTTTTTTTGTTGTTTCTATTATGACCGCAAACATGTGGTAATAAATTCTGTTCTGGGAATAACAATGTTCTCTATGGTTAGAGCCCTCAATGTGTATATACATAAGATTTTGAGTAAAAACTAATATAATTTCGTTTCTTTAACAACATTCTCAAGACGGTCACCTTATGCGCCCTGCTCGCCATTGAAGTCTTCGCATCGGTGAAATTCGAAGAGGAGGAGAATGTTATCGTTATCACGAAGGTTTGTTACGTTTAATTAGAGTCTTTGGAGTAAGCATTTCTATGATCTTTTGAGTTTATTACTGCTTTTTCATTTACGACAACTTCGATGATGTCGTGGAGAACACGGAGTTCGTTCTCGTTGAATTCTATGCTCCATGGTGCGGACAATGCAAGGCTCTCGCTCCCGAATACGCCAAGGTATTGCTTAAACTTATTACCTGATTGTAATCTTAAAATCTAGTTGTCAAGTTTGATCATTAAGCTGAAAGACTAAATAGTTTAGTTAAAATTAAGAAAAGTATAACATTGTATTGATGTCAACTAAAGGCGGAGACCCTTTTTATTTGCAACTTTCATTTTTAGGTTGCTTCTCAGTTGAAGGAGGAGGGATCCGCCATCAGGCTCAGGAAATTGGACCCCACCGTGCACAGAGATGTCGCCTCAAAGTTTGAAGTCCGCGGCTACCCAACACTCAGGCTCTTCCGCAACGGCACCAAATACGGAGGCGGACGCGACTCGGCTTCGATCATCGGATAGCTCAAGAAGAAGACGGGACCAGTTGCCAAGACCCTTACAGCGGGGCTGAAGGACTTCTCCGACTCCGCGAACGTCGGATACTTCAAGGTGACTTGTTGATATTATATTAGTTATAGAATAGATATGTAGCACAACCATTGCAGTCAACTTGGTTGAATCTTTTTCGAATATACTTATTATTTAATTTAGGCTGCCGATAATGAAAATGCCAAGGTTTTCCTCGAGGTCGCTTCCGGGATCGATGTTGTGCCATTCGGAATCTCGACTGATGACTCTGTCAAGAAGGAGCTCGAGCTTGAGGGAGAAGGAGTCGTCCTCCTCAAGAAATTCGACGATGGAAAAGCGGTCTTTGATGAAGAGGTACTGCTCTTGGTTCTAGTAATATGAAAGGTTTGTTATTGATTCAAGAGTAAACTTTACTTTAATCAATTAAAGAATAACGTTTATTTTTTAGTTGAAGGCCGACACAGTCAAGAGCTAGATCCAAGCCAACCGCCTCCCACTCGTCACCGAATTCACCCAAGAAACCGCCTCAGTCATCTTCGGAGGGGAAATCAAATCGCACAACTTGTTTTTTGAACTCCAAGGAATTATCCGAGTGCGAGAAGACTGAGGCAGAGTTCAAGGCTGCCGTCAAGCAACTCACGGGCAAGGTATGCAATATTCCATGATGGTTTAGTCTAGGGTCAAATGATACATTCCTATCTTTTAATGATAATAAGTTAACGGTTAGATGATTGCTATGATTTAATCAAGCACATTCATACTCTTTATTTTAGGTTCTCTTTGTGTACATGAACACCGATGTTGAGGACAACGCTCGCATCATGGAGTTCTTCGGAGTCAAGAAGGATGAACGATTGGCGCCAAATTGGGACAAACTTGGAGAGAAACAAGCTGATCACGAAAACATTGTTTACCTTGTTTAGATTAAGGATGTGAAAATCAAATCCTTCTCCACGATCAAGTTCTTCCCAGCCGGATCAAACAAACTTGTCGACTACACTGGTGGCCGGACTCTCGAAGGATTCGCCAAATTCCTTGAATCGGCTGGCAACGCCGGAGCTGAAGACGCTAAGGAGGAAGCAGAAGATGATGAGACCGAAGGAAAACACACCGAGCTCTAAGCAATTCATGGACTTGTCAAATTTCTGTTGTTTGCGCTTTATGTGTGTGTGTGTCGCTGCCGAGGTCGCTGCCGGGATCGATGTTGTGCCATTCGGAATCTCGACTGATGACTCTGTCAAGAAGGAGCTCGAGCTTGAGGGAGAAGGAGTCGTCCTCCTCAAGAAATTTTTTTGATTTTTTTTCATTCCCGTTCCTCAGCGCTTTATCTTTGACATGTTGAAAGAGCTTCCGTTAAGAATCTTGTTTTCCACGACTATTATGATAGGTTTCCCATTTTTTCCTTGTCGATTTCATCCATGTTTCTTCTTTGCTTTTAATTCTCACTTTCATTATTTAGTGGGGTCAGTTTTATCTATTTTAGTAAAGTTGTCTTTTCATGATTAGTTGACTGCTTCTTTCTTTTTGATTTGTTTTTCATTTCCTTCTTTAGATGACTGTTGATCGTCCTCGCCCCATCTTGATGTTTGTCGAAGAGAAGGGTCAGCGTCTCGATTTCGCCTTTCCCGGTGGCGGTGCGGGATATTTCGAAATCAAGCATCCGCAGAGCCTGAAACACTATCAATTTGCCTATCTTCCTGTCGTTAATCCTCCTCCATATGTGGTTAATGGAGCTAATGTTCCTCCAAATGGCATCTACGAAGCAGACCCTGTGGACTTCCGCGGCCGGAACCAAGGAGGAAGATTCCGTTTTCTCGTTCATAATGTGATGTTACAGGTCAGGGTTTGTTTCTAACTATAGTTTTTCTATAGCGTGTGTGAGGCCTGATATTTTAAATTATATCTTATGATTGTGGTGCTTCAGATCCCTTTCAACTCAAACGGGCAACGTGTGTTTGATTTACGTAGTGGAAGAAACGGTGCTGTTGCTGGCCAGCTTGCGGACGTCGCCGAGGTCGATGTTTTCGTTGATGTGTGCGCGGTTTCGCAAGACGTTTTCTTCGGTGGCCTTAAACAGGATTACATTGCACCAATATAGCCAAGGTTTTTCACGTTTCATTATTTGTTCTGGGATAATAAAAAAAGCCCTAGTATATGATATCCTAGATTCAAATTAACTTGTAGTTTATTTTCGGCTATGACGCTTACATTTTAATAACTAAATTTACGAAAAATGCTTTTATGAAGTTAACAAAGCAATTAAACACTTTTGATAACTTGTGTGTTCAGATTCCGTCACGATCGCGGCTCCATCATTCACGTCTTGATTCGTCAAACTACTACAGAGCGACCATTTTTTTTTTGTTAAACAGCCTCTTAAAGGCTGATGTTTATTTTTGTTGTTTTGCAACCCCATGGACTGGGCATAAATGTTTTAAATCATTGATATTTAACTTTTGAAAATTCACGATTATCAAAGTTATTCAGACAGCCACGATAAAGTTAAAGGCATGAGGTGTTTGCTTATGATATAGAAACATGAGAGTTGAATTGAATCTTGAGGTGATTGTTGGTAGTCGGATAATTCGCAGAAGTTGAAATTTTCCCTAACAATGAAAATCAAATCGCAATTCGAAGTTTTCTATTTTTGTTCTCTGGTTTTGCGACCTAGAAGCACAAAGTGGGAAGAGAGGGCAGAAGTTTACGAGTATACTCAATGCTAAAGGTGAACGGTATTAGATTAGATATTTTGGATGCCATGGCTGCCATGAGTCTCCTGACCAGATGTGCAGTCATGGCATAAGTCAAATTTGATCCAAATCGAATCGGAATGTTAGTGACAGTCTCCCACGGAGCATTGGTATGTATGCTGTATTGTCTTTTTATGTGTTCCGGAATTGAGAAGCTTGAGTGCCCGCATCAACAAAATTCGAGTTTCGGAAAACATGAAATTTCAAAAATATGCAATATTTTCTTTTAAAAAGGAAAAAAACATCTCCCGATTTCATCGGGAGTATACAGTACCATTAATCCATTTTTCTGCTTATTCGAATATTCGTTTATGGAATACGCTTTCTGAATTGTCATCTCTGGCCCAATTGAAATGCGATTTTCGGTTTTCAACACTATTTTGTCATACCGCAGAATCCTAGGGTGGCCGATTTCGTCAAAATATCCTTCCAGATTGAGTTTGATGTTTGTTTTATGTTGAGGTTTTGAATCTTTGGGTCTTTTGGGTCTGGATGGATTAAATCTCTTGATCGACGGACCATTGCAATGTGGGTATAGATCTGAATTAAGAATTTGAAAATGGAAAACGGCATAGCATACAACAATACAGTAGTACTCTGGAAAGTATCAGGTTGGCGGCAAAGAAATTTGAATAATATATATTATAAAATGTTTTCTTTTCAACAAGAAAACAAAAGGCTCAGCTAGGAAATGCAGTAACAGCCAAAAGAGATGGAAATCCGATGAGGCTTTCACGCAAATTCCATCATTTTGTTGGTGATCTTTGTGATTTGTGATGTTGTCATGAAGCGCACAGAAACATGTGGAGGTAAGGAAAAAAAGCATTATCGAATTTTGCTAACTTTCTTTGTGCTTTTGCTGCTTATAGCTTTTGGGCTTATCGAGATCCGATTTCGATTCCAACTTTAGATAGATAAGGAACCAAATTCAGAGAGAAAAGGAACCAAATTTGTAGAGATAAGGAACCGAATTTCGATTTTGAATTGATTGATTTCGATCGATTGATTCGATTTTGATCCGATTTCGATTCGATTTCGATTCTGTTTGACATTTGTTTCGACATTTTGAATCGATATTTGATTTTGAATTCCATCTGGATCCGATTCCAATTTGATTTGATATTTGATTTCGATTCGATTATCAGTGTCGCATCAAAACTTGAGTTTTCGTCTGGTGTATCAAAATTTTCGAGTCTAAAACGTGTCAACTTTTGAAAGCTATCTTCTTTTTGATCTATTTGATCGCCTTGTCAAATCGACTTGTCGATACCGTAACGACTTATCGATACTGCTCATTCACTTTTTCCACTCAAAATGCTCATTCACTCATTGATTTCAGGAAGCCGGCATCTTTCCGCGTCCCGAAGCACCGATCGGTGTCCATCCACTAAACGGTCTTGATGACAGTGCATCCGATATCTCCGAGTTACTCATTTTAATCGAATTCATGCCAAAGTACAAGAAAAAGAGTAAAAGAAGCACCGACTGGCACAGTACAACGGCATCATTCTAGGTATGGTAGACCACAAGTCCAAGAACAGCTTTAAAGCAAAACAAACTATTGTCGCTTGGCACGAAAGTTTCAGATATAGTAAAGCTTCAAAATCTAGCCATGTTTTCTTATTTTCCAAGATTTCTTGTTCTTGTTAGAAGATCCAACGCTTCATCCCTTGTTCTTGTCCTCTTTGAACCTGATGCTATTGCAATTTAGTCTAGAAGTATTTCTTGGACATCTTTGCGCTTCTTCATCTAGAGGGAAAAAAGGAAAAAAAGAAAAAGGACTTCCGGTATACATGAAATCAGATTTGCCCCTATCCAGTCTCAATTTGGGGGTGGATGAAGTGAAGGGGAGAAGGAGCGGCTCGTTCAACTCACAGGAGAACTTTTCTGCGAGGGATCGCTAAGGGGGCATTGGCGGTCGATGAGATTCGTCTTCCCCTTCTAAATTTCCCGAAAACGTTAAAGTTGGGCAAGTGAACCGGATGACCAGAAGAAGGCAAGTGAACCGGATGACCAATCCTTCATTAACACATCCGCGACAATGTGGCCCACCGGTGGGCCGTACGTGGATCTTTTGAGGACGATGGGCTGAAAAATTTGCACCAGGGGTTTTTCGGGATCAAGGAATTCGAATCCGTAATAGAGAAAACTGCTCTATTTTTGAATATTTCATCCGGTTTAATCACCCAAGTGCGACCCCAAATCCAAGGCCGTATGCCAGAAAACGAAAACGTGAGAATTTTCTTGTTTACTCAACCGTGCGGCTTCTGGTACACGGCCTCTAGGACGAAACCCAAACTTTTTTCTCCAATTCGGTTTACCTACTAAAGTTTTCGAGAGTTTTGTGATGGAAATTAAAGCTGCTCAAAAAATAACGGATTCAGATTTTCTATCCCAGAATGTCCCCGGTTACGAATTTTTGGGTTTAGAGCTAACATAGATAGTTGTCGTCCGAAACCGCAGCCAAGACAAAAATGGCTTTGTTCTGAATGTGTCAATTCACCATTTCCAAATTTCCATCATTTCGTTGTCATGCATTCATTCATTACAGTTTGGATTGTTTGTTTGTTTTTTCATTTCCAGAAGAATCAACAATTTGGAAGGCAACCATTTATAAAACCAACAGAAAAAGCGTGGGTCATGATTACAAAAGAAAAACCTCACAAGAAACTACCCATTTAGCCCAACACACAGAAAATACACAGCCAGATGCGATGACGAGGGGAGCACACTTCGGCCATAAAAGAGTTGCAATAGCAAAAAAATATCAGAACCTTGTCACAAAAGAAAATCTTAGCACACCTAGATGGAAATGTAATCAGGAAAGACACACACACACACATAAAGCGCAAACAACAGAAATTTGACAAGTCCATGAATTGCTAGCGGGCTTAGAGCTCGGTGTGTTTTCCTTCGGTCTCATCATCTTCTGCTTCCTCCTTAGCGTCTTCAGCTCCGGCGTTGCCAGCCGATTCAAGGAATTTGGCGAATCCTTCGAGAGTCCGGCCACCAGTGTAGTCGACAAGTTTGTTTGATCCGGCTGGGAAGAACTTGATCGTGGAGAAGGATTTGATTTTCACATCCTTAATCTAAACAAGGTAAACAATGTTTTCGTGATCAGCTTGTTTCTCTCCAAGTTTGTCCCAATTTGGCGCCAATCGTTCATCCTTCTTGACTCCGAAGAACTCCATGATGCGAGCGTTGTCCTCAACATCGGTGTTCATGTACACAAAGAGAACCTAAAATAAAGAGTATGAATGTGCTTGATTAAATCATAGCAATCATCTAACCGTTAACTTATTATCATTAAAAGATAGGAATGTATCATTTGACCCTAGACTAAACCATCATGGAATATTGCATACCTTGCCCGTGAGTTGCTTGACGGCAGCCTTGAACTCTGCCTCAGTCTTCTCGCACTCGGATAATTCCTTGGAGTTCAAAAAACAAGTTGTGCGATTTGATTTCCCCTAGTTGACATCAATACAATGTTATACTTTTCTTAATTTTAACTAAACTATTTAGTCTTTCAGCTTAATGATCAAACTTGACAACTAGATTTTAAGATTACAATCAGGTAATAAGTTTAAGCAATACCTTGGCGTATTCGGGAGCGAGAGCCTTGCATTGTCCGCACCATGGAGCATAGAATTCAACGAGAACGAACTCCGTGTTCTCCACGACATCATCGAAGTTGTCGTAAATGAAAAAGCAGTAATAAACTCAAAAGATCATAGAAATGCTTACTTCAAAGACTCTAATTAAACGTAACAAACCTTCGTGATAACGATAACATTCTCCTCCTCTTCGAATTTCACCGATGCGAAGACTTCAATGGCGAGCAGGGCGCATAAGGTGACCGTCTTGAGAATGTTGTTAAAGAATTGTTATTCCCAGAACAGAATTTATTACCACCTGTTTGCGGTCATAATAGAAACAACAAAAAAAATAAGAAGAATCAAATTATCGTTAAAGGATTGGAGGAACAAAAGAAAGAGAAAATTCATATGGATGGGTTATGATGATGTAGTGGCGATGGTAGATGAGGCAATCTAAAAACGCAAAATTTCAAATATCCAAATCTACTTTTAAAGGATACATTATTGAAGATCTCTAGTCGAGATGTGATCTATTATTTGGAATTCGGTTTTTCCACGGAAGTACTTTTAAAAAATTTAACTAATCAATTACACCTAATTAAGGTCCAGACTTTTCTTGATCAAAATACGAGGAATTTAATACCAATTCTTGTTTAATCGATTTTCCTTTACTAATTTAAATTATCCCCAAATTAAAAGTGAAACGTACCAGATTTTAATTGGACTTGTTATATCCTTGGCCGTTGAGTTGCGTCTGGAAGTCCTCAATTGAAGCAACGTCCCCAAGATCAACAAAGAGATCGACTTCCGTCACCGCCACCATGACTGGATTGACGACACGACCAGGATTCGAGAAGAGCGGTTGAGCACCCTGCTGTTGGGTAGGTCCCTGAAAGTCTAACGATCATCACAGATAAGGAAAATCAGTATTAAATAATGACAGATTAAATAATGATGATCAAAAGAAGGGGAATAACAATTTTTCGGCCTGATGATAGCAACAACGAACCGTTAAGTCTAAGACATGAAATTTAGAAACTTAATAGGAGCTATCAGCAAAATTACCAAAATGGCGCAATTCACGAGAAGCTATTTGAAAAGGAACATGAAAAAGATTAATTTGCGTCTTTCTCACTTCTTTGCCCGATCAACTTTTGCAAACCTTGGAACTTACCTGACTTTGAGAGTAGTTGTACACGAACAAAGCGGTGATGACCTAAATATACAGAAATTTATACGAGCAGCTTCAAAGGCTGTTTTCGAAAATGAAACTTAACAGTACCACACATTTCAATTAATGTTGCTTATTTACAAAATCAAAGTAAAGATCTAGCCTAAAATTTAAAGCGAGAATGGTTTTATTCGATGTGATCATCGTCCATCTCCTCTTCTTCGGCCTTGATAACTTTGTCCTCTTCAGTAGCTTTTTCTCCCTCGTTCTCCTGCTCTCCACTATTTTCATTGCCTGCTTCGGACTCAGAGTCACTGGAGGAATAGGATCTGAAAAGTGATTGTCAATGACAAAAGATTTAAAGTAATACCGTGATCTCTCGCGTCCGCAGGTTTCCTTCTCCACGCGTTTTTCAGCTCCATTTTTTGTTTGGTCACCACGATAAGCCTCCCGATGCTAAAGCAACAACATTAGTGGATGAACATGATAACTGTGAATTGTGTTTGAAGAATTTTACAAGATTTACTTCTTCACGCTTAGCTTCCGGATCAGCTTCAAGATCGGTGACGAGTTGTACCTGGCGCAACTTGATCAGAGCTGAAAATTGAAATTATACAAATTCATATTTAAATCACCCACCATCTATTGTTTCAGAGCTTTGCTTTTGGAGCTCCAGACTGCGTAGAGTATGCTTATTTGGCAAATAGAAGATTGTTGGCTTGGTTTGGGTCTAAAAGGGAATGATTTAAGAAAAAGAAACATCTGCTTACTCCAATAAAGTGCTGCAGCTGCTTGTAGTGATTGATCTTTTGCTCAGACTAAATTTTAATTAAATAAATTGGAAACTCAAGAATTTACATATTGAATCAAAGCTTTACGACGAGTCAAAGCGCGAATCTCCCGTTCCTTGTCTCGTCGCTTGGCTAAAAGATCAGCGCGTTCGACCCTTGACTAAAATATAATGTTTTTATAAGCTTTGATCCTTCCGTAACCTTTTCAACTTGAGCTCACTTTTCTTCTTCAAGTTTTTGATCAACAGCACGTTGTTTTTCAGCCTAAATCAAAAATATTTATTAGTTTTAACGTCGTTTATCTTACCTGAACCCGTTCCACATTTTGAACCTTCTTCTCATCCTTTTGGAAACGTTGTAGAGTACCCATAAGCAAGTTAGCAAACATACGCTTGTTTCTAAACAGAGAAAACATTGCAGTACTAACATGACAACAAACCTTTGTTTCACATCTTTCTGTGTTTTGGAGTCCAACTCTTTTAACTTTTCCTCGCGGCTCTTCGTCTCAATAGCAGGCAATGATACCTAAAATCGGAATATATTAAAACTTCTTTAAAAGGCTTACAGGGATCGCTTTTAAAAGCAGGGATCGCTTGGGACGTTCATCGTAATCCTCCTCGTCAGTGAAATCGTCGTCCTCGACATCTTCAAACCGGCCTCGCTTTGCTCTAAAATAAAAATATTTCAATTTTAAAATACAAGAACTTACTCAATTGTCCGCCGCCTTTGAAAACCACCAGAGCTATCATTGCGTCCCGCGTTCAAGCGCCTGAATGAAAAAATCTTATGCAACTTAGAAAATTAAACACCTTGGTGGCAGTCCCTCTTCGGTGTTGCGACGCTTTTGTCCAAGTTGACTGCCACTAAAAGTTTCATTGACTCAAGTAATAGTTTATTCCTAGCGCGTAAATTAATTTATGGTTTTAAAGGCTAACATTTTTTTCGAAACTTACAAGCCAGACCGATTCCCATATTGAGCCAACGAATTGTCAATCACGCGGAGACGTCCCTGTCTAAAAAATAGATTGTAAACGAAACTACAAATTCAAACCTGCGCTCAATTTCTTTAGAGATATCCGACGTATCGATATCCGTCATCCTACATTCTACCTGAAATTTATAAATTAAGTTCAACGAGGTGAAAATGTGAAAAAACAAGATACAAAAAAACATCAAAATAGGGGATTCTTTCGGCTTCCCTTTGGCGGGTACAACTTTCCTTTTCGATCAAGACTGTAGTAAGCTTGGCGGAGATGATGTGGCTTTAATGGTTCGGACGTTTGTTCAGCAGCTTTCTGACAATCGAGAGCTTCTTCTATCAACTCACCGGCAAAAACTTTTGCAAGTCCAGCGATCGCAATCACAACCTGTTGCCCGGGACTTACACCCGTATATTGTTGAATTAGCCTTCTAATTGCACTTTTTGGAAACGTTGATCGTCGGTAAGCCTCATATCGGTTGAGCTGCTCTTGAGAAAAGTTTGAAATCAACACCTGCATCTTTAACCGCTGCTTTTCGTCCTCTTCATCGAGTTCCCGCAATGGGCGAATGATTTCCTCTTTTTCTGGAGTAACAATTTTGGAGGTTGATGGCGCAATCGCTTTCATTTCATTATCCATGCTGATATTCGCAAAGGGAGCATCATTTGCGGTGGACTTTTCATTCAAGTCAGCCGCGTCTTTCTCGAGCGTATCCTGTGAAAACTCTGATGGTCGATCGGTGGGCGCAAGTGAAAGGGCTGATGGATCAATGTATACCATTGGTTCTCGAGCGCACTGATCATCCGGATCATCCAACATCGTAAGAGCCGCATGAAAATCGGACGAAGTGCCAACGTTGGTAATCTTTGCTCGTTTCTGTTCCGTGTTTATCGGTGAGGCTTTCCACTTTCTCGTTTCTTTCGGCTCCAGTAGGGAATCGCCATCATCAAGGTTCGATCCCGTTTCCGGGGAACTGCCGAGCTGAAATTGGACTCGATCGTCGGACATGGACGTCGACGTGGTCGGGTTCAAGGCCAAAGGGGAGGTGGACAAGCGAATGTCTTCAACTTCATCTTCGCTTTGGTGAAAACCGCTGATGGAAAATCCTTGAAGGTTTTACTCTTATTGGAGCATTTCTAGTATTCTTTTAGGAAGTCATTGCAATAGGTGTCGGAAAATTGGGAGAAAACATCTCTGCCAAGCGAATAAAAGCCTTTTGGGCGCCACAAGATTCCGAGTTTTATAACGGTTCACACCCAAAAGGTTAGTATGGAAAATCTATAGATAAAAGCGGCCGATTTCGCTTCTTACATTCTAAAATCGTTTATAAATTTTAGACGGCCTCCAAGATATCCCAATGGGCCGATTTGTTTCTCTTTTGGCTATGAACAGGAAAAAGGTTTTTACTTTCATCTTTTATGAGTTATTCATTAGGTTTTTAGATTGGAGGACAATTTCCCACCGAACGTCTAGCCGATCAACTATGTCAACATATTATTGGAATGAGAAGGTGACAAAGATAATAACAAAGATACCAAAAACGCCCCGGCTTTCAGTGAATCATTGGGCACTCCAGTCGATCCAAACGAAGCTAAGAAACAAACCGAAACAGCAAAGAATGCCGACGGTCAAGATGAACTAAATGAATTCTTCCAAGGACAGGTTTTTTGAAGTTTTTAAAAGGGAAAATAACCGAAAAGTAAAGACAACTCAAATGGATGCCGATGAAACACGACTACTCCGGCAGTCTTTCATGTTAAATCCATCACAAACTGTTTATGAGTACGTTTATTTTTGATTTAATTTCACTGATTGAATTTTTTCTCATCCTAGATACGTCACCGGGCACAACGCTTCAATCAAAGATTTTGTTCGTTTCGAATTAGGAGGAGAATCATCTGATTAATGATTTTGTTGCGAGTGGTTACTGTTTTTAGTTGTTTGTCTAATAGTCGAATAAATAAAATCAAAGGTATATAAAATTGGAAGTTACTTCGACCTGTCAAAATGACAATAACACATTGGCTATTGCTTCTTCAATTCGTCCATGACGATAGGCATTGATCCTCCAGATGGAATTGGCATACAACTAACCGTATTGGCATACAACAACTAAAGAAGACTTGTACAAACTCGACCATTTTGATATAAATTTGGATTCAGTTGTTCTTGTGAAAAAGCATGATAATGAACCTGAAAACGTTTAACTCGATAAATTGCTAAAAGGGTCACCTCTGGTGGCCAGAGCCAGTTAGAAGGCTTGTCCCTAACTTGTCTCTGAATTGACTATAGCAAGCTTTTTTCTCTGATCTGGCAAAATTAAAAGCTAGTAACTTATCGACTCAAAACTCGATGAATTGTGGAGGGATCGGCTGTCCTCTAATCCATTAAACAAGCCAAAACAGCTATCCACCCGTATCCAATAGAATACAGGGTGCGTCATAATTATTGCAACAAGAGTTCAAAGACCGTTTTCCAAACAGGAAAACGGGCGTGTCATGGGCGTGTAAAGCCAATAACAATCAAAATTGGACCTTCATGCAAGATGGAGCTCCCGCTCACACGAAGAAGACGGTTCAGGACTGGTGTGTGGCCAACTTTCCCTCAGTGATGAATGGCCTCCAAACTCACCGGATCTCAATGTGATGGACTTTTTCATTTGGGCAATCTTAGAGGCTAATGTCTACTCTCGAAAACGATAACTAAAGCGGCTAATTGGACCCCGGGTTCTTCCTCCTTCCAGAAATTCTATCACAAACCGATAGAATTGGGAGTTCAAGACGCGGTGCTTAGGTACTACCTCCCTAAAGTAGTGGAAAGTTGAACTAGCAATTGTTGAGCTTTTAAGTTTGTGTAGTATAATATAAATTATACGAGAAATATGGAAATATTTTGATGTATAATATTTATTATATAAACAAAGCTTAAAAGCTCAACAATCCGCCCACCCGGTGACCTAAGAACACTAGATCTTGCGAACTCACTCATTGTGGATACTTTTCAGGACAACCTATGAATCTCGTGCCTCTGGAAGAGGATCAAAGCCGACTGTGGACCAATCAAAAGCTGCCCGAGGCAGAGCTCCCATTCCGTCATTCGGTTGCGAGGAAAGTGATCAAATCAGAGAACAGTTATATGTTTTTTTGTCTCTTAATTTGAGATCGTCTCAATTGCTGAAATAAAAATTGTTGCTTTTATCTCACTTGCTCAAAAAACAGGGGCTGCGAATTCGAAATTCACGTTTGGAGGCCCCTGAAGTGATTAGGAAAACAGCTCGCAAAAAAAAGTGAGGTAATGAGGAAGGGCGTCGCCTTTTATAGGGCGATTCCGATGCGTACGCACTACGGTGCCGCTAGTGCCTTTTAGAAAATCACCGAAAACGGTGACTTGCTAAAGGTACGGAGTTAAAACGAGATAACGGTGGTTTTCGGCGAAAAATAGCAATTGTTGAGCTTTTAAGCTTTGTTTATATAATAAATATTATACATCAAAATATTTCCATATTTCTCGTATAATTTATATTTTACGAGTGTGGATATAGAGTGTGTAAAAGTGAAGTGTAAAATGTAGCCAATCTAATCCCAAGCGGCTCTTGCCGATCAGTTTGCACCCGTTTCCCAGCAACATTTTATTTTGGTGAACACGAAAAATCAAAAATCAAAGCTATTGATCTATCACAGGAGAATAAGTGTTTTTAAGTGGGCACTGAAGAGAAGGCGATGAAAGGCGGAATGAGAAGACACATCAACTGCCGGCCCGGAGGAGACGGCTGGTGGCGGGTGCCTAAACGATGGACAATGCTGGCTAAAGCGGTATCTACTCACTAACTTTGGGCTGAGGTGGGGGCTTATTCAAGTTTCGATAGACAGGGTCGTCAAAACAGCCAAATTTCTCAGGCCAATCCAAAGCCACTCAACTTAGTTTGCAGAATTTTTCGAGACGGCCAAGCCAAAGGGCTAAATCTAACGGTAAACTCGCTATAAACTCGGGGTGTGATTTTTGAAATCCCAAACAAACCTTGCACGCTTATAACTTTTGACAGGGTGCTCCTTAGCAGAAATGGAAAGCAGATTAGGAATCAGCGTGAAATTCTGCGCCGAATGGTCGTATGGCTCATGTCATTTGACCGGCACACCCAATTGATTTTCCCTTGTAAGTTTACTCTCAAATAAATCTGATCTCCGAGGTGTAAACACAGTTAAGGGCATCCCGAAACTGCTTTCAAATCCGATTTCTCATAAGCCGTTTTCGAGATCTACCTTAAAAACTCTAATAGAACGGCCGCCTATAGGAGAGTCGCATCGCAGAGTCTAAGTTTACCCTCAAGCAAACGCTCATATCTCGACACCAGTATGTTTGTTTCTGTGCGCTTCCGTATCAAATTAAAGTAGAAATATAGGGGAATTTTTTTTTTGAGATACAACACATATTTTTAGCAGCAAGCAGCGCTTAGAAAAAAATGATTGAAAAGTGGCAAAAAAGCCGATTTTTCATCATTTTTTTTTCTAGGCGCTGGTAAAGTTTAAAATATGTGTTATATCTCAAAAAAAACACCCATCCTCTACTTTAATTTTGATACGAAAGCGTACAGAAAAAAAACGTACTGGTGTCGAGATATGAGCGTTTGTTTGAGAGTAAACTTAGACGATACGACGCTGTAATGGTGCTTCTATTAGAGTATTTACGGTATTTTGAAAGTTGTGAAAGCAGTAAAGTTCCACAAGTTCAAGACAAAACTCGAGAACAGCGCGTGATAGACTCTAGCAATTGCACTTTTTCAATTCCAATCGAATCTCTCAAACCTGTGCCGCCTCTCCGGGAGTTCACTCTTGATTCTGAGATGATTTCTTCAACGGATACGCCAGTGCCAGTGCCTCTGCCTCTGCCTCTTCCACGTCCACGTAGTCGTTGTCCCAGTCATACGGATCGAGTAAACCACGCGGGCGGTACATGTCCTGAAAAGCAGAAAAATGAATGACGTAGAATGGACATCAACGCACAAGAAGGCATTTCTGCAGCACGTCGTAATCTGGCACATCGTCGCCCTGCAACGAGTTGACCATTCGCGCGAAATTCATGAACGGCTCGCCGATAATCTTCTAAAGCATTGAGATATTAGGGTATTTTGGAATACTTTCAGGTTTAAAGCTTATTTTAGCTCCAATACCAGTCTATGCTAGGTTAAAAGCACTAAAAGACTCAATTTTAACAGGACAAGTGAATTTAATGTCTAAGCAAGCAATCACGGAGATAAAATTGGGATCCGGTTGACTTATTTGAAAGTTAGCCTAATTACCAGAGCCAGTTTTGACGCTAAAAGTCCATTGCAAGTCAGTCAAAACCAAGTTTAACCTTATTTACAAGCCGGCTCAATATCGGAGGCTGTTTGCACGGCTCAAGATCAATTTCAAAGCCAGTTTTGGTCTAAAAGTCTATTGCAAACAAGCTCAAAGACAGCTTCAGTTTTGGCTTACAATAATTTTAATCCCAAAAACCCCACCGCAAATCCCAAAAAGTTCAACGTGAAAAGCTCCTCTTTGGCGCGTCGAATTTCCCTCGATTGGCTCTTGTTCTTCCAGGGCAAGTTCGAGATCAACTAGGAGAATTGGGGTAAATGTGCTAGAAAAACCCTTAAACCAGTTCCAATCCCGTGTACATCATCGAAACGAGATCGTCGCACGGTGCTTGCTCTTGATGGTGATGCACTCGGAGGGATACGTAGCGCACGGTACCACTAGAAAAGATTTAGGTAAGGTTTATGGTAAAATGGCTCACCGAAATCCGCAATTCTTCCTCGATGGTCTCAGCGTTCCGTCCTCGTGCAAGTAGCGGCGAACGAGTCCAAAGTCGAGCAGAACCAAGCGGTGTTGCGATTGCGGCGTCACCCCAAAGCACATATTTCCCGGCTTCACATCACTAAAAAGGGATGAATTTATAGAAAATGCTATCATTTTCCTAGATTTTATCTAGCCATTTAACCAAGTTCTTTAAGTCATAACTTGGATTCAAACTTTTATTTGAAGCCAGCTCTGCAAAGCCATCTCTGCTTCGATGTTTAAACCTGGCTCCAGTTTCTGTTCCAACCAGCACTGGTCCTAAGATCAGATTTCCAGAAGCCAGATTCGCAGGACTAGGCTGCTACTCATGATAATGGCTTTTTGCCTGGTCTGGCCTGGTTTTTGACCTTGAAAATGTTGTAGGCTAGGCCATTCCATTAGGCCAAGTACTCGAATCAATATCGTGCCACAAGGATTATTGCCAGTGCGTGGCCAGCATTAAAAACAGCGTTTGTTCTGTAAGCAGTAATGAATTCTGCTGATAAAGGATACCCTGGGTTGTTCTTGCTAGAAAAACAAGCTTCATTGATCCTTTTTCAGAGTCTCCCAGCATAAACCACACTAAACTCACCGATGCACATATCCAGCCTTGTGTATCTCGCGAAGCGCGGCGATTCCCTGCACGAGCACTCTTCCAACGGTGTGCCGCGAGAGTCGTTGCTGTGGCGAGGCGCGTTTCAAATCGCTCAAATTTACCGACAACAACTAAACGAAGAAATTATTAGGTTAAATTGACGAATCCTTTATGAAAACCGGTTTTTTTTCGTTGTTAGATTTTCTAAAACCATGTTAGAAGTATAAAAAAAATAGAAATAGAAAATTAGACGTCACTCGAAAATCCTTGTGACCTCCCTTTGCCAGTCCCTCTTCCCTACTTGCCAGTCCTTCCAGTCCTAGAGTGGTCCACAATTATAGTGTCGCACTTTAGAGGGCCTAGATTCTCTAGAATTGAGGAAATCGTTCTGATTTTTCTGGATCTGAGCCTTAAGTATATCTCCTAGAACGGTGTTCATTATCTAATCGATTCAAGCTTTCAACTTTTTCATATAACCTTTCAAAGTTGAGA